TATATATATAAAAAGACAAGCAAAGAGTAAGTTTACTTCTTTAATTGTCTACATTTATTGATTCAAGGTACCTGATTGATTAAACACAAACATGTTTAACATCCAACTTTGGTCATCTGTCTACTAAACATCTTATACACGTTGCATCACATGAACAGGGAGAGCAGCAGGCAGGTACAGATTTTGTGAGGTTTTTGGTCTTTGCATGAAACAATCCAGAAAGTCAAGATCTCCATTGCAAATCCATTATTCAGAACAAGGGTAGACAGCCTCGGTCGTATGTGTATGTAGTTTCTCTTTACTTCAGGAGATCACAGAACTCTGTGTGAGGGAAAAACAGAGACAGCCAAAAGTTGAATTGTGGTTGTCATGCAGCATTACAGTTAAGCAAGATGACTCAACAAACAAGAAATCTTTTGTTTTCTTTTTTTTTTTTACTTGTTGGAGAGCAGAAGTTTATTTGCATCAGTTTTTTTTTAAAGACTAGAATTTCAGCACTAAGTGGTGGACAGCTCCTCAGCACAAATTGCTCTGATTTCACATCTGCTAACAGCTCTTCTAGATGTTTTTACAAACACTCACCTTCTATTCCAATCTTGCCATCACCGTCTTTATCCCCAGACGCCATCAGAGCTTTGGTTTCAGCCACAGTCAGCTCTCTGGCCCCCGGAGAGAAATTCTGGAGAAATAGTCTGAAGGGTAGACATAAAAAAACAAAACAAAACATAGAAGCAGTAAGTTCAGACTGTATCTCTGCTGATGCCTTTTCTTCACCTCTAAGCCTTTTTCAGTTGTCCCTGTCCTCCTCACTCACTCAATTCATGTATCAGTCAATTCATGCAAAGCGGAAAGGCTGCTCCATTCATACAGTGACCTCTGCCTGAGGCCCATCATGAGGGACAGTTACGACAAACTGCAGATGTAACACACATGCACAAACAAACACACACACACTCCATCTGTACCACCATGTGCTCCTGCTCAAGTCTTTCAGCCACACACACACACACGTACACACACATGCACTCCATCCTTACTTGAGCTCCTCCTCTTCGATGTATCCACTCTTGTCTTGGTCCAGGACTGTAAACACTTTTCTCCTGTCTGCTTCAGATAAGCCAGTCAGTCCAACTTGTTCAAAGAATGACTTGAAGTTGAATGTGCCTGGAGCTACGTTGGACCACGTACACACACACAGACACACACACCAAACACACATAGTTGAGAGAGGAAGAGAAACAGACACATGGGAATAAGAGGTCAATCACACAATGACAAGAAAGAAAGAAAGAACGACGGGAGACTGAATAGACATGTCGCATTAACTCATTCGCTCAGATGACTTTCATTCTTCAACCAATGACATTTACCAATATACACCCTGTGGCACATCACCATCTTATACCATTACAGGCTATGTCATTATGCCATTAAAGCAGGCAAAGCACAATGAATATGGCCCATAGGTCTAATGCAAATGTTAAAAGCCTTTTATTTACAGTCATAGTGGAATTCTTCTGGTACAAGCTACCTTCAAATAATTTCAAAGGACTTTTCTGAAAAAGACTTGCACACACTGCAGTGGAGTTTAAAACTTCTGATTAATAAAACAAAAATCTTCTTAATGCTATTTTGCCTAAAACATTACTAACAGGCGGGTTTGGTTGAATTAAGGGTATGAAAGCACTGACATTTGATTTTCATCAGATCAGTCGAGCTTTGTCTGCCTCGTCATGAGGACATAATTTCTAGAGATAAATATTTAAGTAATTTTGGATGTGAGGACTTTACAGCTTGTGTGATTTGGTGTTCTATGTGTTAATGCTCAACACAACCACTTTGGAAACTACTCTCCTGCCACATGGCTGCCTGGTTACCTGCAGGTACCCTGTCCCCACTGTGAAAATCACATGATACAGGTATGCCCTGTGGGAGTGGGTTTAATAAGCACCTCTGTGTGTGCTGTGTATATGTGAATGGACCTATATTCCCTTGCTGTAAAGTACGTGTTCTTATGTTCACAATTAGATGCTTGCAAAGTGTGTATTTTTCTTGGATGTAAGTTTTAGTGTGCGCTGTCTGACTCACCTTGACAAGCCTGGACTGCAGCCTGTATGTCCTCGTCGCTCAACATCCCTGCAAATGCCATGGTCCTCTGTGGCTGCCTGAGGGATACACATACACATGCATGGAAGAAATGCAAAGTGACACTAAATTGAACTGCTGAGGGCGTTTTCTGCTGCCAGATAGCTGCAACTGTCAAAGAAAAGCAGGACTTGTGGATAGGTTAAGCATTATCATCACCTACGTGGGCATTTTTCTGATCAGCACAGTCAAAAAGAGAGCTGAGTGGGACCTTTTATCAGCAGGGCTGTACCATTTTAACAATAAAGTAAAATTATTATAGCTATAAACAGCATAGGCTCCACAGTAGGAAAAATGTTCATTGTGTGGTATCATTTTAGCATCGTATGTGAATTGGATTATGGTTTTCTAATGTTAAACACATTCATTTTTCCACAAAGGAAGTTGCAGGTAACTGAAAAGGTAATCACAAATAGGTCCGAACATTTTATTTTTTTTGTCTTCCTACATTTAAACATTTATATCCCCCTCTCTTAAAGCTAGAGGACTAAAGATTCACAAAACAGTGACACACAGCTATCAGCGCACAAAGAATTTGCAGAAAAACTGCACTTGAATTTGCAGAAAAAGTGGTACTCACCGTGCTTCGGGTGAGGTTTGGAGATCTCCGTTGCTCTTGCTTTGTGCTTGTAAGCCACCAACACTCTCTTACAGCTTCGTGATCCTGAGTGCAAGAAGCAACCTGACGTATCTGTCCTCAAACCAAGGGAGATTTCCTTCACGCCACCGACTGCCTCCTCCCCCTTCATCAGTTAATCAGAGCAGATAATTTCCCCATTCATACTGTTTTGTGAACTTGCATCCATGACCAAAACACAGTAAGAACATATTCACATCCCAACACATCTGATCCTCATAAACATGCATTTTTCTGCAATTTATCTATTTTACTACCACAGTTGCTATGTTGGTGCTGTAGTATTGTAGTACATTTGTAGGGAAATTAATAAGGATTATACAATCAGGTACACTCAAGTGAAAATGGTAGTTGTCCTTGATTTTATTACACCTATGTGGCAAGTTTTAAAACATGCAATGAAGTCAGTCTTAACAGAGCATGTGATTTTTATGCGTTCTTGAGCACAACATGCTGAATAAAAAAAATGAATTAAAATACAGGCGAGATTGTATTACAAATAATTTCATACCAGTATTCCAAGTAATACGCAAAATAACATATATAACCCATCCTATGGATTACATAGGAATTACAGGTTTACAGCAATATCTACATGCATTTAGTCTTGATGCCGTTTTGGGGACAGATTTTTTTTAGGCTATTTCTATGTTTGGTTTTCCATGTAAATCTAACAACGAGCCATATTTATATGAAATTCATACTCACAATAAAACAAAAACAACGAATAAAACCACACATACCCATAATAAAGGTCCTAAAGGTAGCATCACTCATCAAATACATTCATAAATTTTTGTAGTTTATAGCTTGCCGTAAACACAGATATAAACATTTTATATAGAGAGGTCTTCTTTCATAACCACTTTTACGTGCCTCACATGGTTGGCGACTGACTGAATGCAGAAAGCTTTCTTCAGCTTTGATACAATTCACTGGATTTAACTGACTGAGAATAAAGCTCGAACCCGATTGGCTGTGGGAGTTCAACGCGACGGAATTGTCCCTTGTAATTGGTTTAGGCTGCTGTCAATTCCTTGAAGTTTCACGGCCCACTTTCAGTGACGTCACGGTGTACAGGAACATGGCGCTTTGGAGGAGAGGTTCTTCATGATAATCAGGGACTATAACGATTGAAATTCCCATTGTTGTGTTCATTTAGACAACACTAAAGTACAGACACTAAATATGAGAGGCCGCGAAAGGTGACCGCCCCCTCTGTCTCCATGGATACCCGACCACTGCGTGTGGTAGCGGCGTTTGCTGTCGTCAGCTGAAACTCTTAGCATCGATAGCTAAAGCTAGTTAGCTGGCGAATAGCCAGACGCAAAAAACAGACAGAATGTGCTCGTTTATGTAGCCTAGACTAACGCGAAGCTGCTATTCAATGTTTAAAACACTTAAGCCTTTTTTTTTAAATCAGCCATTTATTTGATTTCACGTAGCTAACATTTTGTTAGCTAAGCTATAAGGATGGAGAACCGCCGTGTATATGTTTTGTTGCTGAGCTTTGGGATTTTTCTATCGGCTTTGGGACTGTCTGAAGGCGCCCCTCTTCAGTATGGTCAGAAATCAGGTAAGGCAACCGATTCACAGGTAAAGTGTGTTGTGTTTGTCCACATGAGAGGATGTTTTGCTGAAATTGGTAGCTGGTGCTAATACGAAGCTAAAAGCTAACAACACACTAGCTTGAACTGTATTTCCGGTTATCCAGACAGGAGTGTTTTCAATGGACGGGTTGTCATACTTGTTTGTTTGGTTGATCACAGAGTTATCAGAATATCGGTTCTGGTCTTTCCGTAGTTTGTATAATAATGATGAATAACTGCAGGTCATTGTCACGACTCGGCCAAATGGCACAGTGATCAACACAGACGTTTCCTTTAACTATTCTCGGAAAAACACTAATTTATTGCTGCAGGTTTATTTCTGATTAATATTTAACAGCAGAAACCAGTGATGTGTGTGTTGTTGCTTCCTGGTACATAGATGTTAACCTTTTACTGGGATTGGTCTAGGTGTTGATGTAAACAAGTTTAAGGCACAACAAGGTGGATGGTGGCCTACCCGCATGGAAATAATGTTTCTGGTTCTAAAGTGAACCTTGATTAACTTGCTTCGATGACTACAGTGTAATATTTCACCCAAATAAAGAGTCCTGTTATGTTTGGGGCCTCATGAATTGTATGTGTTCTTTGAAGAAAAGTTGCTATCTTATTAAAAAATTAAAAACACTTAATGTAGTAATTAAGAGAGTCTCCTGTTCAGGACACAGCTGTAAAAACGGAAGAAAACTGTGTTATTAGGTTACTAATGTGACTATTTCATATTTGCACAGTCACAAATCACCAAAGAAATACAAATGTGAAACATTCATCTTCTTAAATAATCAGTTGAGATGGAATATTCAAGATTCCATAATACTTTGAGCAGTCATTAAACGTTACAGTGCTATGAAAAAAATATTTGCTCCCTTCCTGATTTGTTTTTTCTTTTTGCATATTTTTCACACTTAAATGTTTCAGGTCACCAAATAAAATAACTGAAATAAATAGAAAATATTTTGCAATTGTTAAATTTGGTTTTTCATTTATTAAGGGAAAAGTTTACCTAACCTACAAGGAGCTATGTGAAAAACTAATTGTCCCCCAAACCTTATAACTGTCTGTGTCACTTTTGGCAGCAGAAAATTAATTAACTGGCAATGAGTTTTTAGCATTGTTGTGGAAATTTGGCCCACTCTTTGCTAAATTGTTTTAATTCAGCTACATTAGAGGGTCTTTGAGCATGAACAGCCTGTTTAAGGTCATGCAAATGGCTCTCAATCAGTTTTAAATCTGGACTTTAAATAGGTTACTCCAAAACCATCCTACCACCTCCTTTTTTTTTCTTGAACTATTCAGAGGTGGACTTGCTGATGTGTTTGAGGTCTTTGTCCCGTCTAAAGTGTGCTTGAGCTTCAGGGCACATATTGTAGGCCAAATTCATGCTTGCATCAATCACAGCAAGCTGCCCTGAAACAGCAAACCAGCCCTAGACCATCACACTACAACCACCATGTTTGAGTCTTAGTATAATGTTCTTTTTATGAAATGCTGTGTTTGATTTACACCAGATGTTACAGGATGCAAAATTTTCAAAAACATCACCTTCTTTTTGGCAAATGTGAAATAATCTTTTGTTTTATTTTTGGTCAGTAATGGTTTTTGCCTCAGAACTCTTTCATGCATGCCATTTGTGCCCATTCTCTTTCTTATTGTTGAATCATGAACTCGAACCTTAGCTGAGCCAAGTGAAGCCTGCACTTTTTTAGATGTTGTTCTAGGTTTTTTTGTAACCTACTGGATGAGTCGTTGATGCGCTCTTGCACTAATTTTGGTAGGCTGGACACTCATCAAAAGGTTCACCACCATTCCAAGTTTTCCATTTGTGGATAATGGCTCTCACCATAGTTCACTGGAGTCCAAAACATTAGAAATGGCTTTCTAGCCCTTCCTGATAAATGTCAGTGTTTTGTGTCTCATCTGTTGTTGAGGTTCTTTAGATCTTTGCTTGATGTGTTACATTTTGAGATCTTTTAACCTACTTCATGTTGTCAGACAGGTTTTGTTTAAGTGATTTCATTCAACAGGTCTGGCAGTAATCAGGCCTGGGTGTGGCTAATGAAATTGAACTTGGCTATCTGAAGAAAAAAATGTGGTTAGTCACAGATATGTTTTTTTTCTTTTCACATAGGGCCAAGTAAACCTGGATAGTTTTATTGCCTTAATAACAAAAAAAAATCATAATTTAAAAACTGTATTTTGAATTAGCTAAGGTCATCTTTGTCTAAAATTAAAATTTGATCTGACACATGTTAATGTGAGAAATGCACCCCCCCCCCCCCCCAAAAAAAAAAAAAAAAAAAATGGAAATCAGCAGTAGCTGTAATACTTTTGCCACAAAGCTACTTGGTGACAAGACAGTAGTTTCTATGTTTTGCAGAATCCAGAGTTTCCTTGGCTCGTATTGGTATAACATGTTTCCTATGTCTGTGAAGGTTCTCAGTCATCCAGGTCATCGTAGTCAAAGGAGCTTGCAAAGAAAAGCGTCTGGACTTCTTTAAGTTGCTTGAAGACGTTTCACCTCTCATCCAAGAAGCTTCTTCAACTGAAGAAGCTTCTCGGATGAGAGGTGAAACGTCTTCAAGCAACTTAAAGAAGTCCAGACGCTTTTCTTTGCAAGCTCCTTTGACAACATGTTTCCTAGCACATTACCAACACTCGCTGGTAATGTGTAACTATAACAGATTCCAGTCTTATCACTACAAGTTAATGATTAGCAACAGCGTTGTTTGCTTAATCATAACGAATAGCACAGGAAAGTACAGTGTAAGATGAAATATAGTCCATATTTTTATTATTTTATTACACAGCAACCTGTCCTTTGGTCCATTTTCCTAGTCTACTTATATCTGTGTGTACACATGATATAATAATTCTTGATTATTTGATTTTCAAAGTTTTGACTTTAAGTTTCAGATTGTTAATGAGATTATTCTTATGAATATGACTTGGGCTTGCCAATCTGCAAGGGATATTCCGTTTACACATGACAAACAGGGGTAAAAATAGGTTGTTAAGCTTTAACCAAAATGTCAATGTTTAAATTGTAGGGCATAGCCAGGTGATATTTGTTTGATTAGTCTACAAGTCATTAACCTTTCACTACTCTGCTCAGTGACTACCACTACAGACTGTTGGACTGTTGGAGATGCTTGTAATAAGCAAGTTTATCCTTTAGCAGTTGTTTATTTTCTAAATTGTGGAAATCAAATTTAGTTTTGTCCCTAACCAGACAGAGATAAGTATTAGCCTATTTTAGGTGCCTCTGTTTTTTCGTTTGATTCATGATATTCTCAGACTGAAGAACCTTAAACTAACCCAAAGCTTTTAGCCACAGTGCCATTTGCCATTTTGTGTGTAACTAAAAGTAGACATCCACTGTTGTGCACACCGGTCGGTGGGTGAAATCTGTAAAAAATGGGTCAACTCCTCCTCTCCCTGAATGCCTGCTGAAATATGCAGTTTAACTGAAATAGGAGGTGGCAGCTCCCTGCTGTATTGGTCCCAAAAACCAGTTGAGTCATTTGGTGGGGCCTGCCAAGTCATAATATGAACCTATGACTCAAATAAAGCCTAATGGAGGAGAACTGATCCCATGTAGCGCTGCCGTGACCCAGCTCCTGTTTTTTTGTATCTGGCTGCTGCTGTAGCCTCTCTGGGAGCCCTGCACTGCCTGGAACCCTGTTGTTTTGCTGAACCAGGTAGTGGGTATGTGTCAAAAAGCTGCCTGCAATTACAGCTGAATGTTTTTCACAGGATTGGTGTGAGCTTTGGAGTTATTAAAGCCATTTGTTCCAATGATTTATCCCACTACTCATTTTAATTGCTGTAATTTAAATAGAAAGGGGCATTGGCTGAAAAATAGCCAGATGTGACATAATTTAGTGCCGACTGAAACAGGGCTGTTAAGTCCAAGCTTATCATTAGCTTGGTTTTGCTTTAAAGTTGTTAGAGGTCATTGCTGGTCTAGAGAATATTATAAAACCCTTAAGAACTGGATTGCCTTATTTTTAGATCCAGATTAGTATAGTAATAGCTTGCTGTGTGGTTTGAGAAAAGTAAATATAGGGCAAAGCTACTTTGATTTCCCTCTGAAACATATTTGCTTTGGCATTGTGGAAAACCCCAGTAAGAAAACACTCTGTCTCAGTACAAGATTCTCATCTGGGGGGCAGTACGGATGACTGGTTTGAAGGCTGACACAGTAACAGCACAAAAATGCATTTGGTGGATTCATATAATTTTTAGGGATGTTGGCCTAAACCATGCAGTGATGTGCATCTGTTCACCTTTTTAAAACCATGCCTTTTTAGCACGGAGTCCTCAGCCAGAATTGTCTGGGTCAGGTTTTTGCCTTTACTTGCCTTGTTAATGGGTCATTTGCTTTTCACATAAGAATATCAATCTTGACATTGCTATTGCATAAATGGACTTAAAGGCTTATAGTTTTATATAATATGAATCATTTATCTCTGGCATTACCTATAGAGTTTGCTTACAGGTTTGAGTTGCATGTGTTTATAAGGAAATATTATGTTTAATTCTTGTTTTATTCACTTAACATTTTTGATTGTTAAAAAGTTTCAGTCTGGTTGGACGTTCAAGACTTAACAATCCCTCTTCATTGTTCTGTTGATGGTGATGATAATTGCAAGGTAAAGAACCCTTACATTTAACAGCTGTGAGTACACATGCCATTTATAGCTACATTCACTGGTCCAATACACTACAGAGCTATTTAATCTTTAATTTCTCCTCTCATCAATATTTTACTGGATACAGTTTCTCTGTTGCAGTCTTAAGCACAGAGGTTTGTGGAAGTAATCCTTTAGAAACAGCACTTCATAATGGTGGCCTTGCTGTTGTTGCTAATTTATTTGCATCATAATATATCATCAACTATCATTGACTTACAAAGATCTTCGTGATATCTGTCACTGGCGATTCAAATTGTAACTGTGCACAGTTCTCAGTGAAAGAGGCCACAGAATTCAGTTTACCTGCACCAGTTTTGGGGTTGTAGTTCAGTATTTTCTGCCCGGCAGGGAAAACATTAGGCATTCAGACATTAGTGAAAAGAAGCAGAGTGCATGAAGGACTTTCATTATGATCATAAGTAAAGAGAACAGATTAAGCCATCTTTTCTATTTCTGTCAGTGACTGCTTGGTGTTCTGTGGCCGACATTAAATGAATCTCAATCATGGCTGACACCCTGTATCATATCTAATATTCCTCAGGGAGTTGGAGGGATTGCTGCTCCATCTTCTCTACTCTCTGACAGCCTACGTATGCTGTGTGGATATACCCCCCCTCCCCCGTCTCAAATTAGAACTTACTAAATAGTTAGACCACTGTACAGCCTTATGTGCAAAGCTCTTGCCTTAAATTTATTTCAACAAAATAATTTGTTACCTGCCACTGTTTTACCTGAAATTGCAAACCTGTCAACCTAGAAATGATATGGCACCCACATTTGTTTTTCTGATTGTTTTTTCAAGAGAGTTATGTGCAAACTAAATACTTATACAGTCAGAGAAACAGGAACAAACCTTTCTCTTGGTAAATAAATATAATCTCAAATGATGAGTTTGATAGGTGTTAGTGGTTCAAATCATCATTCTGTTGATTACCCTTGGTGTTTCATTGAGGAAGAACACCAGAATTTAATTCACAGTTATATTTATTTTCAATTTCTTGTGTCATACTGCCTAAGCATAAAATTGATGTGTCAAAAACGGCTAACAATTACAACAGTTTCCATGCTGACGGAGCAAGGGCAGATCACAATTTCATGTTTGTGAAATCTTCTGACATTCTAAACATGCACATGAACTGCGACACCTGTTCAACTTAATTTCCTCCCAAAATTGGGCCCATGTTTACAGTTCAAATTTTAAAACGGAATGCAGTGTTAAATGTTGAACCTGAAAATGTGCTGGATTGGATGTTGGATTTCTCATTTGACTTACATTTGTTTTTACTGTGGTAACTGACCTATAGTGAAGTCAGATAGCACCCAAAGTCTTTCACTATGGTGCTATGCTGTTTAAATGTCTGTAGGGGTGGGTGATATAGCCAGATGAACCTTTTGTAACCTGTGATGTAGCGTATACTTAGGGTACAGATTGTTAATGTCACAACATTCCATATATGCAGAATCTGCAAATATCCATTATGCATGTTTCCAGCATCTTTTTGAATCTCTGTTATAGAAAATTGAGAGAGTTCTGAAAGCAGTGTACCTACTAATTATTTTTTACTATGTAGATAAGCTAGCTAAAGTCTGATTTTTCATTTATTCCAAATCGGTTCAGGTGTGTGTTGCAATCATACTCACATGTTGGTGTGAAAGCCTGAGACACCTAGATGTGAGTTTGTCATCTGGATGTATTAGTCACCCAATTTCATCTGTCAGAAATTTTGTAGCCAGAAGGAGACTCAGTAGGTGTATACTGTCCTTCTAGCAGACACAATGTACCTGACAAGCCGCAACCAGTGGGACACTGAATAAACATTGACGGGAGGCTAGGAAGAAGTGTCTCGCACAAATTCCCACTGCTCTCAACTGTCACGGGCCACATTGAGGTATAATGTAGGTGGCTGTGATTACGTTCAAGTTATAAAAATAAATGCATTAGACTTTGGTGAATTTGTTACCTCATAATGAAACAAATTGATTCAGCAAGTCCTTTCTGTGTGAACTGAAAGTTGTCATCCATAAAAGATGATTCAAGCTGCAAGTGAGAGAGATTGACTTTAACGTCTTCTGACTGTTCACTGGCATTGGCAGTAAGACAAGAAATGCAATGACCAGTAGTCATACCATTCAAAGGAACAGTGAGAAATGAGCAGTGACATGTCGGAAATAAGGTGGGTATGAGTCACACACACCCTAACAAAAGAATGCGCTTTTGGCAGAAATGCAGTGAACATACAGGTGTTCTTGAAATACAAAGAGTATAGGTGGTGTTATGTTGTCTAGCAGCTTGTCCAACCTTACAAACAGCAATGAGAATTGGTTGGTTGGACAAATATAGGTGATAGGTGGTTGGCGAGAAACACCTAATACATAATTATGAATGGTAAATAGCAATACATGGTGTGTGTCTTTTTTGTAGTGCTGAGGTACGGTTGTACACAGGCACCGATTGAGTTCCCATCAGTTTCTCTAGCCTGTTGTTAAGGCTAAACCAGGGCAAATATCAAAGTTATTTTGGTCAGCTTTGTCTTTTTTTTTTAAACATGTATATGCACAGACATTGGAAATCCAACTTACAGACCGGTGAAACCAGTGTACTTTTATTGCCAGGCCCAACCCTGGATTTGTACAAGGAAGGGCATCTGGCTTGAAAAGGACATCAACTTTGCGAAATCAGACATGCAGGTCATCAGATTTCCAGATCAGTCAGGGCCCGGGTTAACTACAGCTTATTAGATTTTAAATTAAAGGAACATAGCTTTTCATTCAAGTAGTTTTCCATATTCTTTATTCATAATTCACTTGAATATACTTAAACAAATTTAGACTTGCTGAAAGGTGGAATAATCTCATTACAACAAAACAGAATCAGTCTCAATAATCTGTTTATCTTGATGTTTCTTTTTTATTAATCTGTAGGAGCTAAAATTGTAATTGCAGTTAAAATTTGATAATGCACAGCCCTGCACATACATGCCGTATATAGTGCCCTCCGTCATCCTTTTGTCTCCTGTAGTATCAGCTTGTACAATTTGGTTAACTAAATCTGAGGCTCATGTGGTTTGGCATTAGTATAGTGAGTGAGCTGCAGCTGAGCAGCACAGTGGGTGGGTTGTGAGGATGCTGTCAGCCCTGACACTTGAACTGCTGGGCCAGCAGCATCCTCACTTGAGCAGATCTACACCCGCTGTCACGACTGCTGCACTATCAGCTGGTGATTGGCCAGCAGACACCCCCACAACTGCTTCTCTGAATACCTGATAAGGGATAGAGGTCATCTGAGAAGTCACACTTATTGCCACAACATTTTGGGAGAAGTGGTGAATCACTCATTAATGTATGCCATGCACAATGGTACAGATTGTTTTTTCTTCTCACTGCAGTGGAGTTGCAAGAGAAAGACAGTAATGATATGAAGAGGTTGTAGTGTAGTGCACTGTGCAGTTTATTTTTGTTGTCAAGCTCTAATGTACCTTTGTGGGTGGCTTTAGAAGTACTGGTACACTTCTCATGTGTTGTACTGCTGTCAAACACACTTATGCTAACCTAACACAGCTGTCATGTTTCTTCTTTATTCCCTTCTAATTTATTTTTGAATTCCAGAGATAGATGTGAATGATTCAGCACATTTTCTTTCTGTTTTTGTCATTTCAGGTGAAGGCACGGGGGACACTTTGTCTGTCTCTATCTACCTGTCCCTGGTGGTGTCTTTGATGGTGATTGTGTCCTTGGTGGTGGTGCTAGTGAACTGTGTGACCTGCTGCAAGGAAAGGGAGATCAACTTCAAGGTGAGAGTTTTGGCAGGCAGGTAGCCAGACACAAGTGAGTTTCATTTCCTTCATGCAGACTTGACTTGATGAAAACACAGTGGGTGAATGTATAATGTAATGGGCTGTGTGTAAATTTAGTCTAAAAGAGAGTCAGCGTTTTTTGTTTGGGTTTTTTTTTGTTTTGTTGTCATGCCGTCAACAAATTTATACATGGCATATGTTTGTGTGGACGTAGGAGTTTGAAGATCACTTTGATGATGAGATCGACTTCACTCCGCCAGCAGAGGACACCCCTTCTATGCAGTCCCCAGCTGAGGTTTATACCCTTGCTGTGTCTCCTGTGCCCCTGCCTGGCCCGCCACACCTCCAACCTCCTGCCCGCATCACAGGTCTGATACATACACATTCACAGAATCATGTTGTATAAATAAACTTGGCACAAACACTAAGGAAATGTGTGTATCTTCCATGATTTCTTTGTTGTAACAGTGCTTTTAGGCAATAAGTCTTATAGTGTTGGAAAGCCTGGTTATTTCCCTTAAATAGTGCCACAAGGAAAATGCATTTGTGGGTTGAGCAGCAGAGTTGAGTTTATGGGTTGCGCTCATGAGAAGCTTACAAAATCTTTTCTCCCAGTGCCAGACTGTTTGTTCTGCTATTGATGGTTTGGTTTGGTTTAATTTACTGGACTGGATGATTGAAGTCTGAAGAAACAAGACAGTTTGCAATTTAACTCATTCACTGCGTCTATAGCCGTCAATGGCAGTGAATGAGTCAATGGGTTTAACTCATTCACTGCCAATGGCTGGCAGTGAATGAGTTAATAATTTATTTGTCTAATAAACGGGGGCCTCAGTAGCTTGTGGGTGAATGATGCACAGCCACAACAGCAGTACTCAACTCTGCTGCTCAACCCACAAATGCATTTTATTTACAAATTTTACACCATTTAAGCAGAAATAAACAGGCCTTCCAACGGTAGTTAAAACAAAGAAATGATCAAACACAAATTTCCTTACTTTTGTGTGCTTAGCTTATGTCATGAAATACGGTTGTCCATTAAAATATGTTTGTTTGCACTTTGTAGTAAAAAATGTTCTATTAACACCAGAGGTGGTGGAAATCCACCTGTAGACTGTTTGGTCCCCACCATTAAATAAATATTGAGGGTAGAAATATTAGTACCCCAAAACGTTCTCTGTGGAAAAAACTAAACAAAAATGGGATTTCTTTGGCAAATGTGATCACTGTGTCACAACAGTTCACATAAATTTGAGAACAGTACAGGGATGGAAGGGTGTATCTTAAAAAAGTTGTCACATTTTTTATTGAAAACGTCATACCTAGTACCCATAAACAGTGACTATGAAATACTTGTTCAGGGCTCTAGACTAACTTTTTTGCCATGGGCGTACCGGTACGCCTAACTTTAAAAAGTTAGGCGTACCGGCACAAAGGTTAGGCGCACACACATTTTATAATAATTTATATAATATAATGTGTTTTTCTGGGTACACTGTGCTTTTTCAGTACTCAAAGATTGATGACACCGTGTCAGAGCACTGGCTATGAATTTCAGAAGGATCAGGCCTTAACTTAACGAAAAGTTAGCAATAGTTCTTTTCCTA